GATGTTCGCACACATGCCCATGCCAGAGCCAACTCCACAGCTCCCTCACATACCACCCAATGTGTTCAAGGCAAAGTGACAGTAGCTGGGCTGAGCCATGATGCCGTGTCCGGGTTTTGGAGTGGCCTAGGGATTAGGCATTCTCCTGGGGAGCACAGGGGTTAGGGCTTAAGTTTGGGGTTTCCATCTTGCTATGTAGCAAGGAGCCCCTTAATTGCCAATCTATCTTGGCCCAGGAGGACTTTCAGGGGCAGCAAAGAGCCTACTGAAAGATGCCAACCTCACAATGTGGCTTGGAGTGACTGTAGCCCTACCTTTATGGCCACACACTCCGAGAAACAGAGATGCCAATGTACCAGCAGACTCCACGTGCCACTAAACATTCGTATGGCTCCTGGAAACCCTGCAGCTCAAATACATACAGTTTGGCTTTGATACGCTGTTACATGCTACCAAACGGCACTGACTGTTCACCATGCAGCAGGCCTTTAGGATATTTGCTGAGGCACAATCCGTGTGTTAGTGAATCACATGCCTGGCTCCTTCATATAATGTCACTTGATTTGTCTTTTCTGCAACTGCCAAAGCCCACCGGCAAATATTTCAGCCGGGCTGTTCAGCACTTCGGGGGGCTGGGAGAACCCCTGGGGAAAGTCAGAGGGGACTTGAGTGTCCCATTCCCCTTGGTGACTGCGAGTTGCAGCCTTCTTTCGCTATAGCATGCCACTTGACATGTACAGTTGAGCCCAATCTGAAAGCATTTTTTAATAATGGTTGTTAATGGGGTGGACAGCCATAAATGGCACAGTAAGATGGACCTGGAGGGCTCTTTTAGATGACCAGGACCCATCATCACTGCAAAGAAGATCAAATGAGAGACCCAGACAGGTTCTAGCAAGGGTTAGGGTCCCTTCCACAGCTGGGCCAAGTGCTGAGTTAGTACCTCCAGCTGTGAACAATCAGACCAATTGAAACAACAAACCTGGCCTTTGTTTGGAGGCTGTGAGTGTTGGCTGATGTGATTGCAGAGTCATTGGCCATTTTCTTTGACAACCGGAGGTGACCGGGTGAGGCCTCATGACGACTGGAAAACGGCAACGTGGCGCTCATCTTTTTAAAAATAGGAAGAAGCCAGGGAACTATAGACCAGTTAGCCTCAGCTCAATCCCTGGTAAAATCATGGAGCAGGCCCTCAAGGAATCTGTTTTGAAACGCTTGAAGGAGAGGAAAGCGATCAGAGACTAGACGAATCCCAAGTACTGCTACAGGCTGGGGACCCAGTGGCTAAGCGGCAGTTCTGCAGGAAAGGACCTGGGGATCACAGTGGATGAAAAGCTGGATATGCATCAACAGTCTGCCCTTGTAGCCAAGAAGGCTAACGGCATATTGGGGTGCATTAGGAGGAGCATTTCCAGCAGATCTAGAGAAGTCATTATTCCCCTTTATTTGGCACTGGTGCGGGTCCCAGCCTGCCACCTGCTCCAGGCCTGGAAGCAGGTTTGTTGTGCCATAGGCCTTGGCTACACTGGGTTGGGGGGCTCTCTGGCTATGTCTAGACTTCAGGCTTCTTTCGGAAGCTTTTCCAGACAAGATTTTCCAAAAAAACTTCTTCTGAAAGAGAGTGTCCGCACTGTGAAAGCACATCAAAAACGCGATCTGCTTTTTCGACAGATAGTGTCCACACCGAATGGACGCTCTCTTGCATGTAAGCTGTGATTACTATGGGCGGAATGGTCACCAAGGCACCTGTGCTTTTTCCTCTTTCCACTTCTTGTGAAAGGAGTCCCTCTTCCCCGTCCACACACGCATCTTTCCAAAAGCGCTCTTTTGCAAAAAGGCTTCTTCCTCGTAGAAAGAGGATTACTAACGCTGGAAAAACCCCTCTGCTCTTTTGCTGTACTTTTGAAAGAACGCGATTGCAGTGTGGCCGTTACTCAGGTTTTGTCGGAAAAACAGCCATTTTTCCAGCAAAAACCTGTAGACATATCCTCAGGGTCACACCATGGTAAAATCACAGGGCTTGGAAAGCACAGAGGGCCTCCCAGCGTGTGCTACAGCTCTGGAGTGGCGTTGTGATGTGTGTGCTGGAGGGCGGCAGACAGGCGATGTGGGAGTTAACAGCTCAGAGGCCAGTAGCTGGCACTCAAGCTGAGGCAGCACCGTTCCTGGAGCGTGGCAGGCTGATAAATGGCATCCTCTGGGCAGTTCATTAAGCAACACACTTAGCAGTGAGCACGGTTAAGAACATGACATGGGCCTTTATGCATTGCAGAAAAAGAACCATGTGAGGGACTGACCTTGCTGTAACCACTGACTCTAGACAATTTACACTTGCTTGACTAGCTAGGCCAACTATTTTATTATTTCTTCAAAATGTGCTGATTTCCTTTGCAGCACACAGGAAGGCAAATGAGTCAGGACTCTCTGACACACAACTATCAAGCTTGTTGGGGTGGATTGTTGGGTGCTAGCATCAGATGCAACCCCTCTACCCTCAAACTTCCTCTTGGTTTTGATTCAGGCCATTAGAGCAGGGCTAGCTGTGTAGTCCAAGTTCAGAACTGTCTGGGGAAGGTGGTTTGATTTGGGAGGCTCTCTGAAGACAAGCTAGGCCCCATCACTCCGTTGGCAACTCAAGCAGCTCTTCAGCTCACAACTCTCTCCTGAGAAGTGTTGCTAGGTTACACAGAAGGAAGAGCTAATCCCCTCCTTTGCAGGAGAAATTCTCTGGCCTGCGTTATGCAGTAGATAGGCCGCTCTAGACTATAATAGTCCAAGCTGGCCTTAAACTCTGACCCTGCCTAGAAAGCACGAAAGAGGCCAGGAAAGGTGGGGCACTAGCGTCTAACAGCAGGGCTGTGTCTAGACTGGCCAGTTTTTCCCGAAAATCAACCGCTTTTCCAGAAAAACTTGCCAGCTGTCTACACTGGCTGCTTGAATTTCTGCAAGAACACTGACGATCTCATGTAAGATCGTCAGTGTTCTTGTGGAAATACTATGCTGCTCCCGTTCGGGCAAAAGCCCTCTTGCGCAAATCATTTGCGCAAGAGGGCCAGTGTAGACAGCACAGTACTGTTTTGCGCAAAAAAGCCCCGATGGCTAAAATGGCGATGGGGGCTTTTTTGCGCAAAAGCGCGTCTAGATTGGCACGGATGCTTTTCCGCAAAAAGTGCTTTTGCAGAAAAGCGTCCGTGCCAATCTAGACGCTCTTTTCCGCAAATGCTTTTAACGGAAAACTTTTCCGTTAAAAGCATTTCCGGAAAATCATGCCAGTCTAGACGTAGCCCAGGTGTAGACATACTCTGAAAGCCCATCTGCAAGTGCAGCCTGTGACCGCCCTTGCATTGTAAGGACAGCTCCGTGCTATGATTTTTTGGCTGTTTAATGGTTAGTTTCACTGCCAGTGACTTCACTGCCAGCAACTGGCAGGGTACCTCAGGTGAAGGTAGAGACACCTGAGGAAAAAAATCTATTGATTTCCCCCATGAATAGCTCATACAGTTGCTGCTCTGTACTTTAATAAAAAGGACCGATGACCGCCTATAAATATATTTAAAATATTACAAAATGAGCTACATTCATAAGTAAAATGTATGACATAAGCAACTACTGTGTGTGTGTGTGTGTGTGTGTGTGTGTGTGTTTCAGTCTTTGTCTGTTATGCACTTTACGATCTAGTCCAAAGATTATAAACTGGCCCGTGTGTCACCTTCTCTCTACGTTATACATTATTGTCTTTGTGGCTCTGCGCACTATATTATCATCAATCGGAGAAAAGAAATCAGTGGAACACAGTATGGTCTTGCTGGACTCCGAGATGTGTTATTGAAAGAGATGGGGCACAGCTGCAGTACCATTGAGCGTTCAAAATTCATGGATCAGGCTCCTGAAAATCATGAGAAAGGTTTAAAAAAATCATAAGTATTTTTAAACAATATAATAAAATGTGGGTTTTTTTATTTGCCGTCTGGATTTTAGGCTCAGGTTTTCAGGCTTGGCACTACAACCAGGAGGGCTAAAAACTCATATTGTTTGAATGAAAGTTGATGTTTATAACTCCAGCTGCTGGGGCTTTATAGAAAACACCAACTATGGGAGCTTTGCAAGAGTATGCAACCTTGGAGCTGCACCATACAAGGACACAAACATACACATATTTCAAGTCACCTTAATCGCTTATGCAGGCTTGAAGCAAGCCTTCATTGTGGCACATCCTCTGAGCCTTTCTCCAGGGCACTGAACGCTCAATGGAGAGGCAGCTCTAGTCATTGGGATGGTCTTTTATGGGGGGGTGTCAAAAGTGGGAGTAGGAGGCATAGTCCCTGCATGAGGTCTGGGCTCGTTTTGCTGAAGCAACTGCTCCATCCTGCTCTCCAGTGACTGTTCTGTGTCCCACCCCACCACTAATCTTTTGTGCGTGAATTTTCCCCATCCATGTGCAGAATAATTTTATGTGCAACGAGTTTTGTGCAAATGTGCACCACCAGGAGAAACACAAAACCTAGCTGTGGGTGCTCTGCTAATCTGCTGGGCGGCGTTTGAATCTCTCTTGAGTGGCCCTGCCTAGCTTATAGGAAACGCTGCCCCCCCCGCCCTTATATCCTTGCACTGTCCCATGGAGCAGGGTGGAATGGCCACTGAGTATGTGCCCTGCTCTAGGGGCGGAATGAAGAGGGGCCCAGAAGAGCTGATCCGTTGGGTGGTTCAGGGTGGTGAGGGGAGGTGCAACTGTGTCACCCCCGGCAGGAGTTTCTAGTACAACATCACATGGGGGAGGCTAGAAAAAGCAGCCCTGGTATTGCGAGAAGGCTCAGTCTGCATCAGTAAACTGCATAACCACCAGTCCCTGTCCAGAGCGGAGTGTGGAGAGGACACTGGGGATTTTACTTGCTTGTCACCCAGCCCTACTACCCCACTCGCTAGTGCAGACCACACCACTTGCAAACTCTACAAGCTGCTAGTGTAGACAAATCCCTGAGGACAGCAGCTCAGGATCAGTTCTCTTGGGAAGGGGCCCAGCCTTACATGTCCAGGCCATGGTAACCTTTGGCCAGTGATTATAATATAACGTGAATAGTGTCTGACTAACGCGGCTCCTCTTGGTCGCCTGAGGCCTTTCCCCCACCTCCTGCTCTCCATCAGTCTCTCTCTCTCTCCTGCCTTCTTCTGCCTGCCCTCTCCCACTGCCCCCTCGCCTTGCAGTCTGCCTGCTGTCCCTTCATTGCCATGGCACGCACACTTAGTCTCGGGTTTACATCTGCCAGGTGCGAGGGGCGTGCGGGGGAGCCGTGCTAGTTGTGAGGCAGCAAGCTGGAGTGGGCCGTGGTACAAACCAGCACCACAACCGAGGCGTGTCCTACGCAGCGGCTGCGTGCGGAGGTCTGACGTCCAAAGGGGCTGGACAGTAGGGCAGTGCTGGGATCTGGGGAGGTGGGATAGGCAATGGGGTAATTTTATGGCTGGGATGTGTTCTGCAGAGCGGAGACCACCACAAAGGCCTCACGCTCTGCATTTGATGGATGGCCAGGTCTGATCCATGGCACAGCAAAACAAATCCTCCCATTCCACCACTCCCAGCCCCTTGCGCTGTGTGTGCACACACTCCCTGACCTCTGTACACCATCAGGAACCTACAGGAGGCTCCTCCCCACTCTACCATGCGGGGTGAAATGCTCAGGCATGGGGGCAGTAGCTGGGTGACCCTCACTGCTCTGCCCCCCAGGAGCTGGCCTCTCTCTTGGAGCTAGGGCATCCTCATGCAGAGAGTCGCCAGAATTCACTCCCCCCCTCATACACACACACACCAGTTTTAACTTGTCCCCTGGGAACAGCCCAGCGGCAAGGGGGAGCGGATGGGGATTAACTGCCCCGCCTAGCCACAGAGCTGGCTGGGAAACGCACGGGCTCAGCTTACCGCTGGTTTCGGTGGCGTTACACCAGGCATGTGCCAGACTCACTCACGAGGCCTCCACTTTCTGAACAGTGCGGCCCCGTTAAGGGCCTGGCAGGGGAGGGCTGGACAGAGCTGATGCCAGCCTCAGGGCACTGAGATCGCGCCTGCCAGAGCATGCAGGGAGGAGGCTAAGTCGGGGGGGAGGGGTGTGTGGCCATTTCAGGGCGACACACACTGTTACCCCCAAAATTGGGCACCGTTTCTGAAGCCTGTGAGGACCCACTGCAAGCACCTCCTGGCCCTGCCTGTCGCCAGCTTGCAGGCCTGAGGATGGGCTCCGTCCTTTCAGCCCATTAGGCCAGAGGCCTGGAAAGGGGGGTTATTATTTCAGGGATCGGATTTTGGGGTAGGGTGGGAATGATTAATCAACACAAGGCAGATAATTCCCATTCTCCTCTCCTCTCCTCCCCAGCCCAACCCGCCTGTGTCCTGCTCCTGCCCCCTACCCCATCCCAGAGCTTCTGCGGCCCCAGCCACAGTGCCCGCTCAGTACCCCGCCGTGAACGAGCTGTTGTAGGTTTCAGTGAGGAAACAGGTACTGTGAGACGTACTGGTGAGGCTATAGGCAAAGTAGGCCACAGCGGAGCCCAGGGTCAATCCGGTCATGTAGGACACAGTCATGGTGTTACCTGGAGAAGGGGAATGGGAAAGAGAGGCCAGGCGGTTAACTGTCGTCTGCCAGACATGTACTGGCTGCTCTAATCAGGGATGCTTCCCGAACAGGGGGCGCTCTTGGGGCCTGCTGGATTTGGGACAGAGGTTACCAGCCCAGCATGGGAGTCATTCCCCTGAAGGTTGGAGCTCTCTGGCTGAACTGGTTCCATCGGAGGGGCGGTGGAGGGGGCAATACGGGTGTGAGGATCATGCTGCCCCAATGGGTAGGGTGGCACTGTTTTGGCCCCCATAGAGCTCCCCTCCTGGCAGCTGCCTCCCGCCTATGCTGAGCCAGATCCCTGACCCTTGCAGGATACAACCAGTGACCGAGTGACCCTCGCTCTCCCTTGGCCCGGTAGCACGGCCACCAGCGCTGGCGCTGGGTTGCCAGCATTGTGCTCTGGAGGCATGTTATGGAAAACCACACTCAGTGCCTGTGCTGCTTGTAAACCAACACGCACGGCAGCCAGCACATCAGTGCCGGAGAGCCAGGCCCCCAGCATCTTCGCATGGCTTGGGGAGGGGACAGCACTCTCCGGCCTGCAGCCCTGAGACGGCTTCTGACCTGGGGGCTATTGCAGTGATTACCAGGAACAGGAGAGGGAAACGACAGGCCTGCTTTCTGCCTGCACCTTCCTCTCCCCTTCCCCCCAGTCTCTCACTGGCTGCGGTAAGAGTCTCCGCACACTGCAGGGAGCTGTGTTATGCGTAACTGGGATAGTCCCTGGCTCTGTGCACACGGCACCTTTTCCCCGTTGGCCTGTCCACACCTACCATATCCCATGGCAATGTCTGCAGCAATGCATCCTGGGTACATCTGGGCCACCTCCCACGCTGCCTCCACTGCTGCTTCCAAGTGCATGTGTAGCAATGCAGCTGCAGCATCAGCAGGGGAAATCTCCCCTCAAGTGCATCCTTGGGAAGTCGGGGATCTTCCTAATCTGGTTATAGTGGCAGGGCCCAGCCCCACAGCATGGAACCTGGGTGCCAATCATGTTACAGGGTCATGAGTAGTGGCCAACCACAGTGCGGACCCGCTTGCTAGCCCTGCGGTGCATTGCCATGGGTTCGCCCAGCAGCACCTGGGCTACATCTAGACTGGCATGATTTTCCGGAAATGCTTTTAACATGTGGTTCCTCCTACCTGCCAGTTCCCGCTGCTCCGGGCTCACTTTGCCAGCAGCTAGGATCATGGGCACGCTGCCAAAGTACCCATTGGTGATCCCCATGAGGAGGGAGAAGATGCAAGGCCAAGCGGGGTGGCTGAAGGTGGGTTTCCCATTGGGGTAGACGCACATTATAAAGAGAGGGATGAAGATCACTCGCAGACAGGAGTAGATGAGAAGGTGGGTCCCTCTCCAGTCATAAGGCAGGGCCGCCAGGATCTAAAACACAGAGGGGACGTTGCACTGGAGTGCAAAGCAAAATAACTCCTGGAATACAATCTAGATCAGTGGTTCCCAAACTTCTCGGCATCACGCCCCCTTTTTTATGTTTGAGAAACTCTCACGCCTCCCCCCCCCCCCCCCCCAATAGCAGTAAAACTTGTTGAGCAAGAAAAAAAGGAACTGCCTGGGGCCGAAAAACAAAAATAGCAGCAAAACTTAGGGGGGAGGATTAACAGGAGGGAGAGGGGGGACTGGGTCGCCTCGCTCCCTCCCTGGAATTTCTTCACGCCCCCCCCCCGGGGGGCACGCCCTCCAGTTTGGGAACCCATTCTAGATCAATAAACAGGCTGTTCGGGGGCCAGCTAGCCTGAGTGGTAATGCCAGAGTCAGACGAGCCCTGGAAACAAACAGGCCTCCACTATGCGATCTCAAGGAAGCCAAACCTAGCCCATCCTCAGTTCCAGCTCAACCCCATTTAGCCCAGACCTTCAGCCCACGCACACACCAACCGCACCCTTCCTAACCAATGGGATCCACAGACAGCTGGGTTTGAACAGGTTGATTTTCTAACAGCAGAGGAGGGCTAACTCCAAGCCCGGCGCAATTGACTCCCAGTTCTCTCGCACAGGGGGCAGCCTGACCCCCAGACTAGACCTGTTAGCCTGCGTCTGGCTCCTCCTCTGCTACCCACTCGCCCCAAGGAAGCCTGCCCCCCTACCTTGCCGACAAAGTCCGAGAGGTTGAAGATGGCCATGATTAAGATGGGGAGCCACTCCCCTAGCGTGCAGTTGCGGATCTCTGACTCCAGCCCAGGAAAGAGGCACAGTGTGATGAAGTAGGTCATGGCTATGGAAAGCATGTAGGCCCAGATCACCCTGGAGACAACGTAGCGATGCAGCATCATGTCTGGAGGAGGACACAACTCATCAGTGTACAATGGAACCCAAGCTCTTCCCCCCCCAGAGCGTGGCACTCAGAGGTGCAGTCAGGTCTGCCAGGGGAGGGGAGCGGCGGAACGGGGCCTGGGGCCATTCAAAGAGGCCTGGGGCTGCTATCTCAGAAGAGGTGGCGGCCAGAGCTCCGGACCCTTTCAATCACCACCAGCGTGCCCGGCCACGTGCTCCAGATGGCTCTGAGGGGTGGAGAGCCTGCTCCCGGTGCCCCCCTCTTCCACCCGAGGCCCTGCCCCTTCCAGGAGCATGGAGCCCCCCTACCTTGCCCAGGGCCCACAGAAGCTGTCAGCCTCCCTGGGTGCAGCCCCACCAGCCCTCTTCCCAGGCCATAGGCTCTCACAAAGGCACGGAGCAGGGCTGTGCCGGCAGGGGGCGGTCCCACCATGTGACAGAGAGGAATCCATCCAGAAGTCCAGGTGGGCTCCTGCCCTCCGAAGTCTGCCCGTGGGCAGCTGGAGCACGCCCACCGCCCACGCTAGCAATCCCTTTGCCCTGGCCGGACTCCACGCTCCGGACTGTGGATCAGATTCCGTGCTGGTGCAAACCACAGCAGCAGGACTCAGGGCTGAAATCAGCAGGGTACCTACGCAGGCCCTCTGATTTCCATCAGACACCAGAGCTGTATGAATGCGGCCACTGCCCGTGTTCTGTGCCTGCCATCGCTGCCGCTCCGGGAATAGCTAGCTTACAAGAGCTGCGACCTCAGTCTGCCCACCCCCTCATCTCCCTTTCCCCTGGGAGCTGTCTGCCCTGTAAGCTGGGCACTTGGGCAGCTGCTCAGGAGAGATTCCAATGTTGCCCAGTTGATTAGCAGAGTGCCCACAGCTAGGTTTTTATTTCTCCTGGTGGTGCACATTTGCACATGCCTCAGTGCACATGACAAAATTTATTCTACACGTGGATGGAAAAAAATCCACACATGGCTGGAAAAGATAAGTGGGAACATTGCCTGTGAGGGCAAAAAGGCAAGAGAGACTGCGTGTTATTTTACGTCCAGTGCTTGGCAGAAATATTGCCTCACCCGCCCTGTGATGTGCAACACGGGACGCCATGAGATTACCCTACTTTGGCCTCAAAGTTTCTCTGCCTCCGCAATGTTTGTGTTCCTCCCACCCCAGAGACAGCTGCATTTCAGTGATGCTGCATATATCTAGAGTGAGGAGCATTTGGAGGTAAAAGGTAGATCTAGCTAAGGACATCTATGGCTGCCATCTCAGTGATTTCCAAGTGCCTTGCAGACATTGATGAGCTGGAACCTGTTTACACCCTCTCTCTCTTCTGAGGCACACAGAAAATAAGTGACTTGCCCAAGGTCATGTCAAAATGCAGTGGCAAAGTCGGAGCTGACCCCGGATATCCTAAGCCTTTAGTGAAAGATCATCCATCCTCCTGCAACATTGCGACAGAAATTCTCAAGCCACAGTCGCATTATTAAAAAGTGACCATTCTACTTTAAGCAGCAGCCTCTGAAAGCCCCTGTAAGCGGGAGTGGGACTAGTTGTCCCTGCCAGCTAGAGCAAAAGGCAAGTGCATTCCTTAGCGTGCATGCTACGGAGGGTCTGGCCTGCCTGGCCAGCGAGTCCCTGCAGCTGGACACTGGTGTCCTACCTTGGAAACCAGGCCAACTCCTTTTGATTTTTGGTCGTGGGACATCGAACCTCACGTAGGTGCTGCTGCCAGCCAGATCAGCTTCATTCGCCAGGCTGCCCGGAGGGGAGCCCACCTGCCCACGAGGCCGATTTTCCTGGGGACAGCATAAGAGTAGCGTTAAGCCCTAGGAAAGCGCAGTGAGAGGAGGGGGAAAGACTCAGGGAACTTAGCCAGCTTGATGTAAGGCTGCCTGATGCCACTAGGGAGGCCAGAATGGATGAGGTCAGTGGCTCTGATCCACTCCTGCCAGGAAGGGCAGGGGACAAAAGGGGAGGCTAGACTGAGCTATTTATGGACACTACTTCTGCATCTCGCTGCACCAGTGCATCATTAGAGGGCACCCCGCACCTCCTAAAACAGGGGAGCTCGCATTTTTCCATCCCATGCACAACCGCATAAAGCAGGGTATCTTGTCGACCCACCTCCTCTCCCGTGCATGGCTGCAAAGTAGGGATGTGAACGGTGAACCAATTAACCGGTAAGCATCGCCTGGTAGGTTACGGTTAACCAGCGGGGGCCCGCCCACCGCAGGCAGGGGGTTGCTTCAGTCCCACAAGGTCCACTGCGGTGGGTAGGGGGGGAAGGGAGCACTCCAGCCCAGCCGGAGCAGCCCCCATCCATGGTGGGCCTGGCCCAGTGCACTACGGGCAGGGGCCCACAGCCTGGCTGGAGCATACCTCCATTTGTGGTGGGCCTGGCCTGGATGTGCTGGGGACAGCCCCCGTCTGTGGCACATTTGGGGTGGAGCAGCCCCTGCTCCCGCCACTGGTTCCCATTTAATCGGTTAACGGTTAAACATAATATTTAACAGGTTAACTAATTAAACGGGATTTTACATCCCTTCTGCATAGCCCACCATCCCCGTGGCAACCGCAGCAATGGTTTGCACTGGATGGTAATGGTAGGAAACTATTAAAGGTCTTTGCAATGTCTCTTAGGGTATGTCTACACTACCCCGCTAGTTCGAACTAGCGGGGTAATGTATGCATACCGCACTTGCTAATGAAGCCCGGGATTTGAATT